TGGTCATTAGAGAAATGCAAATCAAAACCACGTTGAGATACCATCTCACGCCAGTTAGAATGGTGATCATTAAAAAATCTGAAGACAACAGATGCTGGAGAGGATGTGGAGAAATAGGAACACTTTTACACTGTTGGTAGACTGTAAAGTAGTTCAACCATTGTGGAAGACAGTGTGGTGATTCCCCAAGGACCTAGAAATAGAAATTCCATTTGACCCAGCAATCCCATTACTGAGTATATATCCAGAGGATTATAAATCGTTCTGTTATATAGACACATGCACATGTATGTTCATTGAGGCACTGTTTACAATAGCAAACACCTGGAACCAACCCAAATACCCACTGATGATAGACTGGACAAGGAAAATGTGGCACATATACACCATGGAATACTATGCAGCCATTAAAAAGCAATGAGTTTGTGTCCTTTGTAGGGACATGGATGAATCTGGAATCTGGAAGCAAACTGACACAAGAACAGAAAAACAAATATCACATGTTCTCACTCATAGGCGAGTGTTGAACAATGAGAACACATGGACACAGGGAGGGGAGCATCACACACTGGGGTCTGTTCGTGGGGACTAGGGGAGGGACAGCATGGGGTAGGGAGGTTGGGGAGGGATAACATGGGGACAAATGCCAGATATAGGTGATGAGGGATGGAGGCAGCAAACCACATTGCCATGTATGTACCTATGCAACAATTCTGCATGTTTTGCACATGTAACCCAGAACCTAAAGTGCAATTATATATATATACACACACACACACACACACAAACAGAATTATATATATGTATGTGTGTGTGTGTGTGTATATATATATATACATATATATATATATACACATACACACACAGAAAGAATAGATGATAAGAAAACAGGAGAGGGCAAACTTGTGTTGAAACTCAGGAAAGAAAGAGAAGAGAAAAGCACACCTTAATAGAGATGAAAGTCACATGAGAACAAAAGGTAAGAGATACAAAAAGAAATGTTTGACAAAATTCCATAAAATGAAAAGGAAACAAATGCTTCCACTTCCATGATATACTTAGAAAAGCCAAATTCATAGAGACAGAAGTAGAACAGTATTTACTAAAGGCTGGGGCTAGAAGCAAAGGAAGTGGTTATAGTAATGGAGCTAACGCTTGATGGGGACAGAGTTTCCATTTAGAATGATGAACAAGTTCTGGAGGTAAATAGTGGCGATGATTGCACAACATCGTGAATGTGCTTAATGCCACTGAATTGTTCACTTAAAAATGATTAAAATGGTAAGTATACCAAAAAAATACGTAAAACGTGTAGATGTAAGTTTTCAACTCATTCAGGTAAATAGCTGGTGTGTGATTATTGGACGCCTATGTTTAGCTTTGTTAAGAAACTACAAAACTCTTCCAAAGTGGCTGTACCTATTCATTATGCATTCCTACCAACAATATGCAAGCGTTCCTGTTGTGCCACATCCTTGCCAGCACTTGGTGGTGTCAGTGTTTTGAATTTTAGTCATTCTAATAGGTGTATAGTAGTATCTCATTGTTTTATTGCCAATTCCCTGATGACACATAATGTTGAGTATCTTTACACATCTTTTTTTGCCATCTGTATAGATTCTTCAGTGAGGTCTGTTTGGACCATTTTAATTGGGTTGCTTTCTTATTGTTGAGTTTAAAGAGTTATTTGTACATTTTAGATAAATAATCTTTTATATCAGATATATTTTTACAGAGAGTTTCTCATAATCCTTGGCTTCTCTTTTCCTTCTATTTACAGTATTTTTGTACAGAGCAAGTTTTAAATTTTAATAAAGTCCAATTTATGAATTTTTCTTTCATGAATTGTGCTTTTGGTTTTGTATCTAAAAAGTCATTGCCAAACCCGAGGCCACCCAGATGTTCTCCTAAGAGTTTTATTATAGTGATGCATGTCAGGAAGAAAAGTCTAAGATCTTTCTCTAGGTTTTTGTTTTGTTTTGTTTTTTGGCATGTGGATGTCTGGTTGTTTCAATCAGTACCATTTGTCAATCAGGCTGTCCTTTTTCCATTGAATTGCTTTTGTTTCTTTGTTAAACCTTAGCTGACTGTGTTAGCGTGAATCTAGTTTCTGGTTTTCTATTTTATTCTACTGATTTGTTTGTGTATTCATTCATCAATGCCACATCATCTTGTTTACTCTACCTTTATGGTAAATCCTGTAGTTGGTAGTGTCAGTCTACCAACTTCGTTCTCCTTCAATATTGCGTTGGCTATTCTGGGTTTTTGCTTTTCCATGTCATCTTTAGAATCAAGTTTGTCAGTATCCGCAAAATAACCTGCTAGATTTTGATTGGGAGTGTTGAATCCATGGATCTTTTTGGGATCATTCATTGCTAGAGTATAGAAATACAACTCATTTTGTGTGTTGTGATTTGCGTCCTGTGACTTCTGAATTCATTAGCTGGGTCTAATGGTTTTGTGGAATGTTAAGGGTTTTATACGTATGAGACCATGTCATTTTTGAACATAGATAATTTTATTCCTTCCTTTCCAATACAAATGCCTTTTATTCTTTTTGTTGCCTAATAGCACCATCTTAAACTTTCAATAGTATTGTGAATGGAAGTGAAGAAAGCAGACATTTTTGTCTTGTTCTTGATCTTAGGGGAAAAGCTTTCAGTCTTTCACCATTGAGTATGATCTTAGCTAGAGGTTTGTCATATATGGCTTTTATCATTTTGAGGAACTTTCCTTCTATTCTCACTTTGTTGTTTTTATTTTTCAAGAAAAGGTGTCATTATTGGTATATATGAAATTAGTGTCTATATATGTTACCTTCTATTTGTTGTCCTTGTTCTTTTTTTTCTTCCATTGTTTTTCTGCCCTTCTTGGTTTTAACTGAGCATTTTATGAGGTTCTATTATCTTTCTTCTCTTAGCATATTGATTATATTACTTTTTAAAAACTTTTTCAATAGTTGCCCTAAAGTTTGCAATACACATTTACAAGTAATCTAGTTCCACTTTTGAATAACATTATTCTTCTTCATGGGTAGTGCAAGTGCCTTAGAATATTCTCAGTTCCTCCCTCTTGACACTTATAAAACTGCTGTCCTTCATTTTAGCTATGAACAAGCTATAATAACCAAATACACTGTTACCATTATTTTCATATAATTTTTATCAATTAAAAGAAAGAGAACATATTTTACTTCATTTATTCCTTTTCTAATACTCTTTCTTTCTTTATGCGTATCTGAGTTTCTGAAGTATTTCAGAAAATAGACTTGGCATCATTAGTAGTATGTGATCTCTAGTAATCACAAAGAGACACGACTTCACACCCACTAGTATCATATAACTAAAAACAAAAAGAAAATCACAAGTGTTAGCAAGGAAGTGGCGAAACTGGAAACCTCATACACTGCTGGTGGCAGTGAAGAATGGTGCAGCCACTGTGGGAAACATTTTGGCAGTTCCTCAAAAAAAACAAAACAAAACAACTATATAGAATCATATGACCCAGTAATTCCAATCCTAGTTGTAGACTCAAAAGAAGTGAAAACGGGTGTTGAAACAAAAACTTATACACGAGTGTTTACTGCAGCATTATTCACAATAGCCAAAAAGTAGAAACAATCTAAACGTCCATCAACTGATTAGTAAACACCATATGGCATATCACACAATAAAACATTCAGCAAGAAAAAGGAATCAAGTTTTGAGAAAATCACAAAACCATCATGCTGCCAAGTTTAAAAAGCCAGTCTCAAAAGGTCACATGTTCTATGATTCCTTCAATATGAAATATCTAAAATAGGTAAATCCACAGGCACAGAAAGCAGATTAGTGGTTGCCAGGAGCTCAAAGAGAGGGGTGTGGGGAGTGAGAGGTTAACAATCTGGGTTTCCTTTTTGGTATGATAAAAATGTTTTGGAAGGGTTAATTTTATGTTATATGAATTTTACTTCAATAAAGTCTAGGGCCAGGCACAGTGGCTCATGCCTGTAATCCTAGCACTTTGGGATACCAAGGCAGGAGGATTGCTTGAGCTCAGAAGTTCAGGATCACCATGGGAAACATAGTGAGATCCCATCTCTACTAAAACTTAAAAAAAAAAAAAAAAAAGCCAGAAGTGGTAGTGCACATCTGTAAGTCCCAGCTACATGGGAGGCTGAGGTGGGAGGATTGCATGAGCCCAGGAGATCGAAGTGGCAGGGAACTATGATCACTGCTGGACCCTGGGTGACAGAGCCAGATCCTGTCTCAAAATAATCTCCTGGAAAAAAACTTTTTTTGAGACAGGGTCTCACTCTGTTGCCCAGGCTGGAGTGCAGTGGTGTGATCAGAGTTCACTGTAGCCTCAAACTCCTGGACTCAGGTGATCTTCCCACCTCAGCCTCCTGAGTAGGTGGGACTACAGGTACATAGTTTTGTTGTAGAGATGGGGTTTTGCCATGTCACCCAGATTGGTCTCGAACTCCTGGGCTCAAGCCATCTGCCCGCCTTGGCCTGCCAAAGTGCTGAGATTAGAGGCGTACACCACCACACCTGGCTGAAGGTTTTATTCTGTAGCATCCTATTCTGTGTCATAGTTGAAATATTTTATGTTACCTCTTTGAAGATGTACGTTTTCTCCCTACAAAGCCTATTTTTTTCTGGTTGCTTTCTCATATAATTGGATTTTCACAAATATCCTGGATTGCTTGTTAACACTCAAGAGAGGACAACAGATAAGCTAAGGAAGCACTGGTCACATTGGGTGCTTTCAACTATGGGCTCCACTTTCAGGAATCTGGCAGGCTTTGTGTGACAGAATACCCAATATTCAGATTTTTGTAAGGATTTCCTTTTGGGGCTGGTCCAATTTCCTGTAAAAAAGCTCTAAAAATCTTTTGCTTTGAGGATGAGGCCACCACAGCTGCCAACATTCTGGGAGCTGAGTAGCAGAAGAGAACACAGATTTATTTTCTATTTTAAATGAAAATTGCCACAAAATTCATTAAAAGGGAAAAATGCTAAAAGCTAATCTTTTATATTGACTGTATAGCTCCAAATATTGTCAACATATATTGTAAATTTTAAGATGTTCCGTTTTATAAAAGCTTATATGGCAATACCTGAGATAGGACTTGAACAGGCACTTAATATACAATCACTGACAAGATTAAGTACATTCACAGAAAAATACAAAGAAAACTCATCAGCAATAATATTTTATAGGACTATGAACCACTTCTCAGGAGAAGAAAGATGTGTGAAATAAGAAAGGGTAAATAACCTTTACATCAAAGAAAATCTAATTTGTATATTTAGAAACCATGATAAAATTAACAGAGGAAAAGTTTACTTAAAATTATAGCTCCTTTCTTGATCTCCAAAAGGATAGTGCAATTTCTCGGAATAACCAAGTAAACATCCCCAATGTTCTTTACATCCACAGTTAAAACTGTCCAAATAACAAGATCACCTTTCATACTTAATATATGGCATATAATTATCACGTCTAGTTTGTAGAATGGTGGTAATTCTTCCATGTTAGCTGTGGTCATTGAAAACTCTTGAAGAAAATTCCTGCTAAAAGGACTGCAACAGCGAGAGCTAAATCCATCCCACAGTAGAATATCAGCTGCCTCACTGTCAGGACCTCTCTAATGGTAGACACGACATACTGGGTGTTTTCTTCCAGTCCCTCAGTTGAAGGGTCTGGCTCTCTGGTCTGATGATATCAGGCAAAATGATTCCACCAGTTACTTCTTTTCCCAGGATAGGTAGATCTGTTTGCAGAGAACAGTGGGGTATTCACTTATGTCTGGGTCAAGTAAAGTCATATTATGAAGTTTACACGAGAATACGTTGTAAACAATGACCCTCCGATATCAGTTAGTATATGTGAAATTACATTTAAAAATATTTCATAGGAGAACCCACAGGTGATCTCACCAATTACTAGGGCTGAGACAAGTTTTATTGAGCAGGAGAGCAGGATCTTGCAAACTAAGCAACTCCGGCTGCACTGTTTCAGTTTTTGTACGTCAGACATTGAATATACTAGAGAATGGTCTCTGTTACCTGAGGAGGTAGGCATGGTCTCTTTATTCCCTTTTAGCCCAGCTGGAACCTGTGCCTAGAAACAAGTGTCGCATGAGTAAATGCAATGTAAGTTAAATCATGCTGGTGGTTGTTTGCTAAAACTTTGACTTAAAGCCACTGCGGGCTGGGAGCAATGGCTCATATCTATAATCCTAGCACTTTGGAAGGCTAAGCTGGGAGGATCACCTGAGGCCAGGAGTTCAAGACCAGCCTGGCCAACATGGTGAAACCCTGTCTCTAGTAAAAATGCAAAAAATTAGCCAGGCATGGTGGAAGACTAATCTCAGTTACTCAGGAGACTGAGGCAGGAGAATTGTTTGAACCCAGGAAGCGGAGGTTGCAGTGAGCCAACATTGCGCCATTGCACTGCAGTCTGGGTCACAGAGTGAGACTCTGTCTCTGTCTCAAAAAATAAACAAATAAAGCTACTATGAATCCTACTGCTAACGGGTTATAGTATCTAGCACAGTCTGTCTTGGTCCTGGATGTGCCAAAAGAACAACACGGAAAAACCACTAGTGCCCTCCAAACACATGCCCAGTTCACAACAATAATATAGAAAGCTGCTGTTGCTAGAGTGGCAAATTTAACATTTGCACGTGTGCCCGTTAGTGTTCTGAAAACACAGAAGGAATAAAGTCTAAAGGTCAATGATATTGTGATTTAATGGCCCATGTTAATCTCCTATAAAGTTTAGTCCCTGAATACATCAAACTGAAGATAAGGAAGATATAATGCATCACAATTAGCTAAATCCAAAACACAAAGGTGGTCAAAGCTTAGACAGTGATGGTCGACATTCCTAAACTCATCTTGTTTCCTTATTAATAATCCCTCCTCTAAGCCAACCACCCATCCATCTCTTTTAAAAAATTGTATTATTATTTTTAGTAGAGATGGGGTCTTGCTATGTTGCCTGGGCTGGTCTTGAACTGCTGGCTTCAAGTAATCCTAAAGTACTGGGATTACAGATATGAGCCACTCTGCCCAGCCATCCAGCTCACCTCAAGCCTCAAACAATAAAAATGGCCCAGCCGAGTGCTATGGCTCATTCCTATAATCCCAGCACTTTGGGAGGCCAAGGTGGGCGATCACAAGGTCAGGAGTTCGAGACCAGCCTGGCCAACATGGTAAAACCCCATATCTACTAAAAATACAAAAAATTAGCCTGATGTGGTGGTGTGTGCCTGTAATCCCAGCTACTTGGGAGGCTGAGGCAGGAGAATGGCTTGAACCCAGGACCAGGAGGTGGAGGTTGCAGTGAGCCAAGATCACGCCATTGCACTCCAGCCTAAGCAACAGAGCAAGATTCTGTCTTGAGAAAAACAAAACAACAACAACAACAAAAAAACCGGCTCCTAGTTCAGCACATAGATGCTCACATCAGTGAAGATGCTGACTCTCTATCCATATGCTGTTGTTCTGCCCCAAAGTACTTTCCACAGATCACATATACTTAACATATTGCTTTTATGAAACTACGGACAAAAAGGAAAGAGGCATAAAGAACAGCTAACAAGTCAGTATAAATAGGAAAGAAATTACTATTTTCCTATGATTAGTACACCCAAACAGCAATATATATATATTCTTTAAATTAAGAGACAGGGTCTTCCTCTCTTGCCCAGGCTGGTCTCAAACTCCTAGGCTCAAGTGATCCTCCTGCCTCGGCCTCCTGAAGTGCTGGGATAATAGGTGTGAGTCACCTTGCCTGGCCCTTATTCCTTTTTTTTTTTTTTAGGTTCAGTGCCTGGTTGGTAGATATTAAATTAGCTCTATATAAAGAGGAAAATGTGCTGAAATATGTTTTCTTTTGTCTCCCTGCTCACAATGTTAGATGTATTTTATGATTCACAGTGAGTCATTTTGCCAATAGCATTTTTACCGTTTTGACCCTAAAAGGTTCCTTACCATGCCATGGGATTAAGTAGAGCCATGTTTCTAAAATAACACACTGACTGTTACCTGCTCAGCAACTTTGTTCCAGTTTATCCTCAAGATGCACACCAGATAGAAAAGGGCTTGAAATAAGACACAAACTATCAATCCAGACCAGAGACCTATGGTGTAAAATGAAATCAAAGTTTGGTTTTTTTTCAATTCTGTTCCTATGAGCATTAAAATTCTTCCCTAATGCCAGGCGTGGTGGCTTATGCCTGTAATCCCAGCACTTTGGGAGGCCAAGGCGAGCAGCTCACGAGGTCAGGAGATGGAGACCATCCTGGCTAACAACAGTGAAACCCTGTCCCTACTAAAAATACAAAAAATTAGCCGGGTGTGGTGGTACGCACCTGTAGTCCCAGCTACTAGGGAGGCTGAGGCAGGAGAATCATTTGAACCCGGGATCAGAGGAGCAGGCTCAAAGGATGTGGGAGCCACAGGAGGACACGTGGGATGTGCGCATTGACGAGGACCCACCGCAGAACGTAAGCCTGGTGTGTGCATCCACAGATGTGAGACCTCATGCTCATTTTGAAAACAATCCCTCCAGCCATGGTATGGAAAAGAGTATTGGGAATCCAAGAGTGCTTGGTAGAGAAGAGACAGTAATACATATTTGGCTGTTCTGTCCCCAAATAAAGAATGACAAATTCCAGCTTGAAATTACATATCCTATGGGCCCCAGCCTGTACCAGTCATTAAAATGAAAGATGACACAGAAGACAGTTACTCATTAATCCACTAGATGACATTTCCAAAAAGATGATAAGTAACAGCCTGTGTTTGTGTTGATACAAAGTTCCTGTGACAGCTGCAAGACTAATACTTTACAAAGAAATGGGGACAGAATCAGAGTTTTTTACCTAGTAAAAATAATGCACTGGTTGGATAGAGAACAAAAGGAGTTATTTGAATACACATTACAGCATTCCATTTTCTAGTTAGACTTTTTAAAAAGAGAAACTAGAATTAATTGTTCCTAAATCTATAAAAAATGAAGATGTGAACATAGATGCAAAACACATGTGTAGCAACTTATCCCAAAAGCACATAATAAGTTAATTTGCAGAATTCTTTACATTTAGAACCTCAATAAGGTGGATAATTTCCTTAAAAAATATGACTTACCCATGTTGACACAATAAAAGAAAGTCTTAACAGACCGAGAAGAAATAGAGAAAGCTATACAAAGAATAAACTACTTCAGAATGCCAGGCCATGGCAGTTTCATGGAAGAATTACACCAAACCTTTATAAAACAGAGATAATCCTTATACTGTTTACACTGTCCTGAGGCATGCAAAAAGGAAAAATTTTTAATTATGACATGAGTATAATATTAATATCACTAATACCAAAACCTGACAAAGATACACAAAAAATACAGTTACAGACCAATCTTACTTATAAATTTTAGTGCAAAATTTTTAAATAAAGTATTAAGAAAGTGTAGCAATTCAATAAAAGAACAAAATATCATCAGGAGAGTTCAATATAAGGATACCAATTAATATTATTTATCTTCATAATAGACCTAAGGAGAAAAATTATAGACTTATTTCTAATAGCACTAAAAAGGCATCTGACAAAATGCCAGCCATTTTTGTTTCAATAAGATAGGCTTCATGGACATTTCCTGAACGTGATTTCAAAAAACACGAGCACATACATACATAGTTATGTGTGTGTGTGCGCACATGTGCATGTGTGTGTGCGTGTATTTCAACCTCAAATCCAGCATACCATTGAGTAGAGGAACACTGGCAGCTCTGTCACTAAAGTGATAAATAAGACAAGAATTTCCACTATTAGCACAACTTATTGTACTACTAGAGGTATTATGAAGGAAAAAAGAAAGAGCAGCGCCCTGTTCTCTTTTGCAGTCCTTAACCAACAGGGATTGACAATTACACAAATAATTATTTAATTTGGCCCTCATTCATAGGGCGGAGCCATGTTTATTTTGTTTGCCACTGCATTTCCAGAGGCACTGGATCACTATGGGGGAGAAAATAATTTTTCCTATTACACAAGGGCAGCTTTCTAGTCGATTGCTTTTTTAAAGAGTTGAACAATGAGAACACATGGACACAGGGAGGGGAGCGTCACACACTGGGGTCTGTTGGGGGAAATAGGGGAGGGACAGCGGGGAGTGGGGAGTTGGGGAGAGATAGCATGGGGAGAAATGCCAGATATAGGTGATGGGGAGGAAGGCAGCAAATCACATTGTCATGTATTTACCCATGCAACAATCTTGCATGTTCTTCACATGTACCCCAAAACCTAAAATGCAATTAAAAAAAAGTTTTTTTCTTCTGTTTCCAGTGGGGTTGGAGTTAATTGTTTTCTGTCTCAAGCAGTTTATCTTAATATGACAGGTGAGATTTAAGATTAATCACAGGAGTCAAACACATACCTATTATCCCAAGTTTAGTGCCAAACATCAAAGATACTCCAGTGGAAAAACCAAAGACGTACCCAATGGCATTCAAGATAATGCCAATCTTTTGTTTTCCTGTACCTCTCAGGACTCCACCACAGGTGCCCTACGGAGAGAAAAATCAAACCCAGTGTTTCTGTCACATTTATCATCATCACAAGCCTCAGAATCCTATATTCATATCTTACAAGTTTGGATACGGTCAAACGGCCCTAACTCAAAACAGAAACAGCACATCATGTAAGAGATAAGGGAAATCTTCTGTTTCTAAAGTTATATTAACAACAACAGCCCTAAAAATCCACAGCCCCTTTCATCAGAAACCTGTCAGGTAACAAGACTTAAATCTCTAACTCTTTATCTTGACTATTTAAGAACATTTTGTAAGTTAAAAAAAAAAGATGCAAAAGCAAAAATAAAAAAAAAAAAAAAAAAAAAAGCTGGGCGCGGTGGCTCAAGCCTGTAATCCCAGCACTTTGGGAGGCCGAGGCGGGTGGATCACAAGGTCAAGAGATCGAGACCATCCTGGTCAACATGGTGAAACCCCATCTCTACTAAAAATACAAAAAATTAGCTGGGCATGGTGGCACGTGCCTGTAATCCCAGCTACTCAGGAGGCTGAGGCAGGAGAAGTGCCTGGACCCAGGAGACGGAGGTTGCGGTGAGCCGAGATCGCGCCATTGCACTCTAGCCTGGGTAACAAGAGCAAAACTCAGTCTCAAAAAAAAAAAAAAAAAAAAGAAACAAAGGTTTCATCAATGGCATCTCCGCAGAAATTAGCCTAATATCATTCATGGCTGAAAAACATTAACGCCATTGCAGGCTTCCCATCCACACTTCTCACAGCCAATTTCAATAGGTGCCACATCTTCAGGACGACGTGGACAAAGTGCAAGAACTTCCGTTGAAAAAAGGCAAGATGACTAATGCCTAGAAATCATGTCATGAGGAAAAAACTCAACTAGGAATAAGCCTGATGGGCTGATTCTGGGATAGAGCAGGTCTTCAAATCCCTGTAAACCCACAGATAGGCCGATACAGGGACTTTCTTTTTCTTTTTTTTTTTTTTTGAGATGGAGTCTTGCTCTTTTGCCAGGTTGGAGTGCAGTGGCATGATTTCGGCTCACTGCAACCTCCGTTTCCCAGATTCAAGCGATTCCCCTGCCTCAGCCTCCTGAGTATCTGACGCTACAGGCGTGCACCACCACGCCCGGCTAATTTTTTGCATTTTAGTAGAGATGGGGTTTCATCATGGCTAGGATGGTCTCGATCTCCTGACCTCATGATCCACCCGCCTCGGCCTCCCAAAGTGCTGGGATTACAGGCATGAGCCACCTTGCCCAGCCTCTTTTTCTTTTTTCATTCTGAAAGTTTTATTTTTTTGCTAAGCATTATGTTTCTACAGTTTCATCCATGTTAATGCATGGAGTCCTGATTTAATAATTTTCTTTTCTTTTTCTTTTAATGAATCCATTGTTTTTTTATTTATTATACTTTAAGTTCTGGGGTACATGTGCAGATCACGCAGGATTGTTACATAGGTATACACACATGCCATGGTGGTTTGCTGCATCCACCCCCCTGTCACCTACATTAGTTATTTCTCCTAATGTTATCCCTCCCCTACCCCCTCCACCCCCCAGCAGACCCCAGTGTGTGATGTTCCACTCCAGACAGGGACGTTCTAGTGGTCAGAGTCAACTCAAAGGTGGCATGGCCTGCAGTGCAGGGTTCAAGCAGAGGTCACCTCACTACTTGTATACAACACCTAGAGTTCAGGCACAGATGAAGTTAGAGAAGGGGAGAACTCTCTGACTCCAAGCCTCTTCACCTTGAGAGGCTACATTCTCTAATAACCCATCTTCCCTCAAGTGACTCACATTGTCTAAAGCAAGAGCTTTCTCTTTTTAAAAACAAAATCACTGACATTTATTTTTTAATTAAAAAGCTAGAAACCCAAAACAAATTTTGCTATCTTTATTAGAGTAAAATCACTCCAAATACTGCAAGTGCATCAGGTAGATGAAAGGGAGCAAAAATAGGCATCACTTGGCTCACAAGGGAAGTAATATATGACTCTGTAAGAGGAAAAGAAAGTAGCTAGTGATCTAAAAATCACATTAAAGTGGGGTGTTAATTAACTACTGATCTGACAAACCTGACAAATTTATCAGTAAATTCAGTCAAAACAGTACATTTCTTTTTTTACAAAGTCACTACATAATAAAACCTCACTGATTTAAAATTTATTACTGTACAGAATTTAGGTTAAATGGGACAAGGCTGCCACTATAGAGGATAATTCCAAAAACTCTGTTTCTGGATCTATAAATGCGGGGATTGGGAAGAACTTGATACAGCTTTCAGCCTGGGTGTGGGAATCATCCTCAAAAATGGAGTTGAAGGCTGGTATTCACATAGGAAGCATTTGCTTCCTCAGGGAGCCACTGAACTCTGTTCAGTTATGGTGGAAGATGGGCCTGGGGAGCTCTGCAGAAAGATACTGGGGCTCTGGAGAGGGACACGGCAGAAGCAGCTTCGTGAGACGGATCTAGAGGGGAAGCACATGAAATGGGCCACAGTGCCCTCCCCAAGGTAAAGATGTCCCGTCCCTCCTACTTGCTCTAAAGAAAGCCTGCTGGTCAGCAGGTGCCACCAGGACAACTCTACTCAGGTTTGATAAATCGGGTATTGAAGGAGTGGGGAATGACTTTCATTTCATTGAAATCCATTCAAATTTAGTGCTATGCTTCTCATTCCTGGCTGTACTACAATTTTTCCTGTGAAGGAAAATGCTACTTACCTCTCATAATCAGAAAAATATAAAAGAAAGCATAAAACTAAAGACATTTTTCTAGATGAATACTTACTTGTCACTGGTGAATACATAGGCAACCGCAGTCTTCAAAACTGCAAGTAAAAGTCCTACGGCAAGTGGGCGAACACCTGGAAAATACAGAAGCAGCACCAGGAAATGGCAATTCTCCAGAGTGCAGCAGGTACTGGGGCTGAGATCCCATGAGATATATGTGTCAGTGATTTAAGAAATGTAACCATGTAAATAGTCTTTTCTTATTATCTATGAAAAAAATCAAAGGTCAGATGATTCTTTTTTTTTTTTTTTTCGTTACGGGTTTTATTCTGCTAGTGTTTTATAAATGACGCAC